TTATTTCTTTAAGGTGAAAACTGTTGAAAACAACAAGACTGTTTTGTCTTATTGCACAAATTAAKATCCAGCTCCACGTGTTTCTATTGATGTCATTTCCCCACCAGAAACACTGTGTGATGGAGGTCCATGGAAGGCAAATAAGGTTAAATCAAATAAACAAAAGAGAATGTAGTTAAAATTAATAAAAGGTATTTAAGCTACGTTTTGAACATCCAGAACACGTCCAACACTTGTTGGCTGCTTGTGCTCTTTAGGTCAGACGTGTGTCGGGAAGCGCCTCTGTTGTTTGCAGTGCTGCCAACTTAGCGACTTTTCAGACCCCTCTAGCGAATTTTTTTTTTCCAAAAAGCGACTAGCGACAAATCTAGCGACTTTTCCCGGTGTTTTTAGAGACTTTTAGGAGCTTTGGCGACAGCATTCTCCAAGCACTTTTTTCCTTTCCTACTCTGTTCCTCTGCAAGCAGCGAGCGGCGCGGTGAGCCCCTCCCCCTTCCTAAAGCCGTCAGAGTCACTGACGCCTCATGCGGCACCCCCCACCCCTACCCCCATCCTCGGCTGAAGTCAGCTGAGAGGAGACCGCTGAAGATGAATCACGCATGCGCAAAGATGTCACTTCTGTCTGGTTTACAAAGGGGGATGTAATATTTAATGTAATGTTTTTTCTCTGGGACTGTCTCTCTAAACTAAATCTCTGGACCCAGCTGTGTTTGACTCACAGTCATTTCTTCACCTCTTCCTCCCTGTGTCTRGTGACATCYAACTGTCTGCAGATTAAATTTAAGATTCCCACAAATTTAATTTATGTGAATCTAAGCATTAAATTTAGGTACCGACATGGACTTGCATGAACATTCACGTGGTGGTTATGTAATACAGCAAATCGATAATAAAAAATCTGCGTCTACAAATTTACATAATCGACGTCATCGATTATTTCAACTAATCGGTGCAGCCCTATTCCCACCCCCTCAATATATATGCCAAATGAAAGATACGGTGACTGGCTACACAGCTATGGCATCAGAACGAAGCCCGGAGCTGACTGGCCGATACTACAGTCAATCAAACCCAGGATGACGGAAACCGGAAGTTGGTCACTTCTCGTATATTATTGGCTCTGACAGCTGGTACTTGAACCCAGTTTGTCAAATGAGGTGTCAATCGAAAGAGGAGGGCTAAGACGTCCATTTTGATGCGTTGAACACGGACACAGGTTGAACGGAAACACAAAACGGCCTTTCAAAATAAAACAAAACAAAAACGGCACGCGGGCGTTCTGCTGAATGTTAACAAATAATTTGAGGTGAACTTTTTATCATGGGAACAATTATTCACAAGTGGAAAAACTAAAGATCGCTGCAAAATCACCCCAAGATCAGACTGTGCAATACCTAATATGTTCATTTAAAGTTAAACAGTTTGATTTTTAAAATAATTTTGTTGAACCACAATTCAAAAGCAGATTCAGATTTTTTTTATTTACTTTAATCTTAAGTTATTTCAGTGACCATTGTAGACAGTTTCGTGCTTTGTCCTGCTCGTCCTCTGCACCCCGGCACCCTGACCTCACCGGGCCTCTCTCCTCGGCTCCACAGGTAATGCAGGTGGTGAGGGAGCAGATCATGCGAGCGCTCACTCTCAAGCCTAATTCTCTGGACCAGTTCAAGAGCCGCCTGCAGAACCTGAGCTACACAGAGATCCTGAAGATCCGCCAGTCTGAGAGGATGAACCAGGAGGACTTCCAGTCCCGCCCCATTCTGTGAGTTCCACAGCCCATAAAACCACACTCACTGGAAACTCCTTCATACACGCAGGGCGTTTCGTAGAAGACTTGGATCTCTTTAATCAGCCTACAGAAAMAATTTATTTACCTGTAATAGTTTGTTTTTTCTTTTATGTTCTTTAAACGTGTGAAACAATCAGCAGCAGATTTCCTCCTATAATTATTCTCAATTTTAGTTGTTTGTGGATTGAATTCTCACTATATATTCAATCAACGCTCCAGCTTGTTTTGAACATTGAGGTTTTTGTTTTTGAATGCAGATTTTAAATTAATGGTTCTTGGTTCTGCTCTGCCTGCATTTAACAGAGCAGGTAGAGCTAATGAGAAATAGCTGCAGTGAGAGATCTTGTTTTAACCAGAAATCAATGCTGAGCAAAGAACTTATTGAATCAGTTTAGAGGAGGGGAGACTTGAGCAGACACTTAATCCTAATGGAGTAAAGGTTTAAAAAAAAAACTGCAGAAAAATGTCCTTTAAATGCTGAGATGAAGTTGTTTTTTGTTGCAATAAATCATTGAAAATTAGCTAAAACTTATTTTATTTATTTAATTTCAGGTAACTGTGGAGAAAATCAGAAATATTTAAAGGACAATTGATTTACAGCTAAATAAAACTGAAAAGGCAGGTTTTAAAATACCCTCAAATCAAGACTTTACAGTTACGAATTGCTATCAATATTTAAATTTGTTAGTCACTATTATTTGCTTCCAATTTTCTACTTCCTGTCCTGCAAGTTTTCAAGGTTCAGCTGGACGTTACCATCGCTGCAGTTTAAGTGTCTGAGATTTTCCTCATTTAGCTAAAAGAAAGGATTTAAATTAAACCTAAATATACTTTCTATGAAGACAAAGTGATGTAAAAGTGTTTGACAGAAGCACTGTTTAACCTCAGCTGAAGATCTTTTACACCAAGTAGTAAAACAAAGAAATCTTCACCCGTCCTCCTCCTCACTCGGAGCCACGTCTTCTCCCACCACACCACGCTTTAAAAGACGTCGGAGCGAATGTTTTATCACAAATTGATGTAATGTCGGGAATTACCGATTAGGTGAGCGGAGATGAAGAGGGCAGCCGGGGAGACGATGAGTCTGAAGGAGGCCAAAAGAGAAATAAAACTTTTATTCTGCAAACTTTGTTCAAAAGAAGGAAAAAGTGTTTCATAAAATTAAAATCAGTTTTAATGACGGGTGAGGAGTGCCGCTGRAGATCACGTACATAATTCATGTTGACGAGTGCTGCGTGCGTTCACATCATCCTTACATGAGGATGCATGAATTAATCAGTTCTCCTCTGAGTCAGAGGAGACGCAGGAAGATGGGTCTCTGAGCGCCGACYTTCTGTGGACACATTTCTGTTTAGTGTTTCACAACTGAGAGGGGTTTGTGTCCCTGGTGGCTGCGGGCTGCTCAACACTGTTAACAGAACTGTGTGTGTGTGTGTGTGTGTTTCTGCAGGGAGCTGAGGGAAAAGATCCAGCCGGAGATCATGGAGCTGATCAAACAGCAGAGGCTCAACAGGTTGTGTGAAGGAACCTGCTTTAGGAAAATCAGCAGTCGCAGGAGACAAGGTGAGACGCACATGTTGGTTTTTTTCCATCCTCGTGGGGACTTTGCATTGATTTCCTTTTATTTTTTTGGTCATTTCTATAGCCTGATCCTGACCCTAAATCTAGCCTAAACTCAATTCACATCTTGGTCCTAAACCTAACCCCAGTTTTTCATGATGCAGCAAACACGRGTTCATACACACACTCGTTTCTCCACTTGTGTGGATTCAATATGTGAGGTTCGCCAACGATCCAAATCGTTCGAGTGGCTCTTCACAACGAACGATAAGTTGAGAGCAGTCAAGAGTTTTTTGTAGTTTGTTTGTTTTTTAACTCCTTGCGAAATTTTTTTGTTTTCCTCCTTGACCACAGACGTAATCGCCCCTCCTTTGCTTGTTTTGTGAAAAACAGGCAGAGCAGTGGAGTACAGCAGCTCTGTGGGGAACGGGAGAAGAGGTTCTGCTTGACAAAACAGCATGCAGGGTTTCCACGGGTCCTTGAAATCCTTGAAAGTTTGTGAATTCGAAAAATGATTTCAATGCCCTGGAAAGTTAGTGAAAACAGCCAAAAATGACACTTATCCTTGAACGTCCTTGAATGATTTTTGGGGATTGAAGTTCTCTATTCACACGACTGAGTTTCATTCTCTGTAATAAAATGAAATTAAATTTAAAAACAACTTATATGTGTTGCGGTGGATAACTCAGGATTACAGTAAACTGACGTGGCTTTCAACAAATAACGTGAGCCACAGTTATAGTTTTAGCCAATCAGAGCAGAGTAGGGCGGGTCGTTCTTTCTGAGCCCAGTTGAAGCACCACCACTCCTCCTGTCCTCACCGAGGGTCTGGACATGTTCACATCCCCTCCTCCCAAACTGAGTTGCCCAACCTCCCAGGACATAATTACATGTCCATGTAATGTGGATATGAATGTAGGATGTACATTTAATCCACTTTCTTTCATTGATTCCCAGTTTTTCATTGAATTTAAATGATARTAAACCTGTTTATTGGTAACATTCTGGGGTAGCAGTAGGTAATTGCTGTCGCATGTGGTTCATGAATTTGAGGAAATTGGTACTGGAAAGTCCTTGAAAGGTCCTTGAATTTGATGTTGATCAAGGTGTGGGAACCCTGAACATGGTTCTGCCCACGTAACGTGATGATGTCATCACGGATGACGTAGCTCYTTCAAAATTGAACGGCTCTATGAAACAAATGGCTCGTCAAGATCCAGATTCCTTCAAAGAGCCATTTGTTTGTAATCTAGTGAGGATTTTGCCATTAATCTCTGCAGCATGACCCCCGACCCACAAATGGGGTTTTCTATTGTGTGGACCAGGCATTGACAAAATGTCCTCATAAACATAGTATCATGTTGATATGTCCACACACCAGTACTAAAACACGTGCACACACACAAATCCAGCTTTACATCACCGTTGTCCACAGATTGTTAGCACACGCTCCCCAGGACAATTCTTTCTTTCTGTTTTCTTCATCTTCTTCTTTTTTTGTCATCTTTTATTCCCTTTTCGTTATAAAAAGCCCACACGACTCGCTCCATCAGTGGGGAAGCTTTGAATCCGCTCTCATGGCAGCTCGCTCTAGTTTTCTGACTCGCAGAAGTTTTGAAAGCCGAGYCGAGCGGCGGCGTTCTTTTAAAGACTTGTGCGTAGAAAAAAAAAGGTGCACGAGCGACATTTCTGCTCCGCTCCTCCTCACCTTCACACACAGGAAGGACGAACGAAAAGCATTTAGCTTCCAAAACATCTGTACTCTATTAAATGATCTTTGTTTACATTGAAGATAACTGTTGTGTTATCTTATATCAACATTTAAATCAACTCATTTCTCTTTAGTCCTTCTGAATGGACTTACTGATAAATAGTTGATTAATGAACTCTAATATTTCCAGGTGACTCTGACATTCGTCCCTGAAATCAAACAGAATTTTGACATCTCTGTTTATTATTCAATGAATCAGCATTTCTTTGTGACACAAAGAAGCAGGAAGTGTAAAATCCCCAAAATCCAGCCGTCGGCTTATGCTGAATCATGCTCCAGTCATCCCACCTGACATTGTGCTTCACACTCGCTGTCGCAGGAAGAAGACGAGCACAAAGCAGAACAATACGAGAAGAGCCTGAATAATCCTCTGCTCCTCAGTCACAGAGATCTGATCACTTGTCATCAGATGCCCTGCAGCTCCTGCTCTCTCCAATAAGCCAAATCAAACTGAACGTCTTCTTTTTTTCTCCCTCTGAGTCGGTGTAATTTGGCGTTTTACAGCCTAATTATGATGCGCCTTGGCAGCTGTCATCTGGATGTTTTCAGAGGGAGACATTACAGACGCACAAAAACCGAGCTGCAACATAAAAGCTGAGAGAAGAGGATCTCAAGTGAAAGGATTTAGCTTGTTCAGATGGAAACCAGCAGCCGGATTTAGAATCTGATGGTTTTCTCAGCTTGTGATGGTTTGTTTGTTTTCAGGCTTTTGTGCGACGTTTCTGCTGTGTTCAGGCTAATATTTCAGAAATCCTGAAATTATGTTTTTAATCGTAGAAATACGCACTAACAGTAGAAACATAAGTGTGTCTGATTGTAGCTCACTCTACAACCTTTAGTCTAAAACTGTTTTTTTTTCTCTAAAGTCACATTAACCCTCATAAATCCTGATTCAAGTCCAAAACATTTTTTAATCTACATTAACTTCTCACAGTTCATCAGAGTTGCAAAACTTTTTTTAATTGACAGTTTTTATTTATTTATTTAGCTTTATGCAGCTTGATTAATCGCAGCCATCTGCTGCAGAACATCAGCTGTGMCTGCGGAGGTCGTCCATGACGCTGCTGCAAACTTGTCCCTGACTTTTTTTTCTTCTTTTTCTTTTTAAGTCTTTTTTATGCTCCTGCCTCATCATTTGTTGCTCTGACTCCGACCCCCCACCACCCCCCGCCTGTACACTCCTCTGTTCCTCACAGCTCAGTAACATAAGACTCTGCATGAGGAGTCTGCGTTAACATTGGTGCTCACTTAATTAAAACATGAAGAGTTCATACGAGAGGTTTTGTTTGGTTTTTGAGTTTTTGTCAGGAAAAACTCACTAATTACAGTTGAACTGTCTGTACTTTATTTCTCGCCCCTCTGCAGCATCTCGCTCATCTTTTAAAAAAACAATCCTCTAGAAGCACAAACATTAAATATTAATGCAGCCGACTGCTGTTTGTGGTGAATTCTTCCTCCACTTCTTGCCCACAACAAGAAACATTTCTTTAAAACTTGCCGGTACGGTGTTTCCAGGTGAAGGTCAGTCAGGTAGATGCAGCAAATTTGTTCAGAGTCGATTGAATCTCATCATGTCTGTTTGCTGAATCCTTCAGAGCTTCTTCAGGTCAAAGGAGGAACGTATGCCTCATGTGCAGACAGACAGGCCGTTCACCATCTTCAGATTAAACAAAGGTTTCCTTACAAACCACCTCTGTTTGTGTCCGAGTGCTTCCATCAGGGAAAAACGAATCTCAAAGACGGCAGCATCTTTAAAGGACCCGTGACAGAAGATTTTCAAGATTTATAGAGATTGCACTTTTTGATAAATAACATTAATAATGACTTATAGCAAAATATTTTACGCCTCCAAAACAAACAGTTGTCGAGATCTTCACATGTGACGTAACAGGAAGTGATGTAAAAGGGGAAAGTCTGCATGTAAGCAGAACATTGCTACAGTGGCTAATGGCACAGATAATAGAGAAGAATTTAATGTTTCTTTAGATTACTTTGAGTATTAGAGATGAAGAGTTCAAATAACATCTCAATAATCAGAGTTCCCCTTTGACATCACTTCCTGTTTCCCTTTAGCTGCACTAAGTTCAACAAAAAATGTGCCAGTTAAGTGATCAATTGAGTAAAATCTTGTTTTTATGTCAAATTTCTACAAAAAAAAAAACTGTTTTCCTACTTTTTTTTTTTTGTTGTTGTTTGTACAAAATGCATGTCACGGGCACTTTAAATACGTCAGCATTTATAGAAAATCATTCTCCCAAATGTATTTTAAACAATCAAAAGATGACAATGTAATGAGTTAACAAAGGAGGGCGAGGGTGGGACAGGATCTGACAGTCTGAACCCTGAGGTGGCTCAGATTCCTGATGGACCTCCTCAGGCAGAGGACTGGTGTGCAGCAGGACTTAAATATAAATGAGTTTTAAAGAAGCCGGGTCAGACTAATTMGCTTGAAAAGAAGCAGACAAGGAGAGCGTGAAGCCGAAGTTAAAGGTGAGACGAGTCTGACTGCGTGGGAAATTGAGAGAGACAGCCGAAAAGAATCGATCAACTCATGCAAARAATTCTTTTATCAGCTTATTGTGAGAAAAACAAACAGATCTGAGGAAAAGCATCTGGGCTTTGAAGTGTCACCATTAAAGTGGTATTTTTTATCTCTTTTTTTAAATCATCCTGAGCAACATATTGAACTCTTTAATGAGAAATAAATTTCAGCATCAATAAAGTTCCTTGTCAAACATTTAAAATTGACATTGAACATTTATGATCTGATGCTTTGAGCTTTATTTTTGAATATTTTTTATCCATGTGTGATTTAAATCTAATTCACCTGTCTGAACAATGACTCATTCGACAAATTAGCAAATTTGCAGAAGTTATTGTAAATTTTCATACCTTTTTGTTTTAAGTCAACGTTTGGACGTTTTCTCTCCTGACTCGTGTGTTTACAGTAGATTTCTGCTGAAGCCATAAAAAAAGTGTCTGTCTGTTCTGTCGCCCGTCATGATCCCTCCCTCGTGGAGATCATCGTGGGCCCATCTGTGGATTTTCCTCCAGGCTGCTAATTTTCCCTCCTGTTGATGACTCATGCAGATCCGAACCCACATGGTSCCTTTTTGCCAGCCGCTGCTTCTTTCATAACTCCTCTAAATCTGTCTCTGACTCCCCGCCGTCTTGCTTTTCTCCTGTGCTTGTTTGCAGATAAGTTTTGGTACTGCCGCCTGTCCCCCAATCATAAAGTCCTGCACTATGGAGACCTGGAAGAGAGCCCCCAGGGCGAGGTCCCCCACGACTCTTTACAGGACAAACGTGAGCGAAACATATTTTTCATTTACAATTTTGAGTTTTGCAGTGGGAGTTATTTAAATATGCACCTCCTGCAAAATAAATGCAAAAATTACCATCAGCCTCCCTGAAGTTTTAATTACTTGGATCAACCAGGGACCCATCTGGGCCGACACACTTTTCAGAGGGTTGTTTTTGTTGTTATGAAGTCACGTCTGTCCTCTCTGCAGTGCCTGTAGCTGATATCAAAGCTGTTATCACTGGCAAAGACTGTCCTCACATGAAGGAGAAGGGAGCCCTCAAGCAAAACAAGGTGTGCTTCAGTGTGTGTGTGTGTGTGTGTGTGT